CTGACCAGCATTCTCCAACCCACTCTGTCCTGGGCCTTCTTTTCTAGTTCCATCCAATTCTTGTTCATTCTTCTCATGTCCGTCTCCATTTCTCGGCGTAATGTGTTCTTCGGTCTTCTGCTTCTCCTTTGCTCTTGAGGATTCCATGTGAGGACTTGCCTTGTGACGTATTCGGATGCTTTCCTGATTGTGTGTCCTATCCACTTTCAGCACCTCTTCCTGATTTCTTCTTCTGCTGGAATCTGGTTTGTTCTCTCCCACAGTAGGTTGTTATTGTTGATAGTGTGTGGTCAACGGATCCGCAGTATTTTCCGTAAACACCTGTTAATAAATACTTGTATCTTGTGAATGATCTCTTTCGTAGTTCTCCAGTTATTCAGTCTTACAATTGATATAATCTACAAAAATGGATGTTTGTAAATAGGTACTTATTATGGTTTATTCATCAAAATATGATTGATTATGATTATGTTCTTTTTATTTTGACGATCGTTAAAAAAAGTCACCTTAGACATAGTTATACATATATTATTTGTATAAACCAAGAAAAGAAATGTATTCATCACTCTAATTTATGGTTCCTAATCATCTAGTTGTAAATATCTTAAAATTATAGTCGGATTAAAAACGAGACAATAGAGGTCGGCATAAATTATGCTATTCAACTTCACATGAACTACCAGATCTATATATTAAAAGTATCAAAATAATTCAGAAAGGCTTTTTTAACTAGCAAGAAAGGCGAATAGCTGAAACGTTGTATATACTGCTAAATCTCACCTCTCTTAATAGAATAGGAAACATGGTTATTCATTCAGCTTGGACTATTTCTAAACAAACACACGTAGTTCTTTTCCTATCTTATATGATTACCATACACATACATACATACATTTCAACTCTACTCTTTCACATTATAAACTTCATAATTTTCTTACCATATGTTAGAGGGATATAAACTGGATTAAAGCATGTTCCATGCAGGATTGTGTTGGAGCACGCCTATTGGCTATTTCCTAACCAATTAGCGCTACGGAGACTTAAAGAAAATTCTAGAATCTTATATGAAAATTACAAATATAGTAACGTTTTACTTATTGTGATTGTTACTTCCGTTCAACCTTGTTATTTGAAATACGATTACACTCCCGTTCATTCATGTTCTGATTTGGGGACTTGTTCAGTGAAGTAGTGTCCAAGATTACTAAGTAATAAGAGTAGCTAAGTCGTAATAAGAGAAATCTTAACACCATCATACAAACACAAATATATACACGAATGTCCTATACAGAATTACATTGACTAAATCATTCACTTAATATTAAAATCATCAAACTTAGGTTGAGTTTGATTGAACTAACTATTCTACCTTGCTCCTGTTTACTATTTTAACTTGTTTTAATTTGATATGTTTATCTACTTACTCTCTAAAGAAGCAATTTAAATCAGGTTGTGAGACGTCAGAAATTGAATTCTCTACTCTTTTAGTTATCATTAATATACCTTTATCAATAGCATTTTATTCAATATATTCAATTTATTTGAAATTATCGAGTCTAACCGGTGAGACTATGATTTATGGATGACTATTGGAGTGACGCCAAAGTGACCTTGAAAGTGATCACCTAATAACTAGGACTAAATGAGAGTTATAAACCAGTGTAGAGAATTAGGATTATGATTTATGGTTCATAGTTAAGGTTAGAAATTAAATTGAACGTTTTCATCATGAACTGACATCAGCTATAATGCATAAACTCTATTTAGCCAAATGGATGAGTGAATTTCGTGCTATGAACTCGTAACTTTTAGACCACTAAGTCAATTATAATGGTGTACATGTCTAACTTCCATATCGGACGAACATATTCCATTGCCTCTGATAATTAACTTAGTTATTTGACTGTGTAATCTGATTATGTGTATCGAAAACAAAACGATACCATCATGAAATTTTTCGATATTGTTGAGTGCAAAGGGAAGGAAACAAGTACTTTTGATAGGTATTTCATATATGTACAAGCATAGTATAATTACATCTACTATTATACATTGTTGCATTTCAGTCATACTCATCATGTGTTATTTCCCCTCTCTTTTAAATTATGGAATTAATTAATTACTAAGTGACTTTAGGCAAGTAAAACAAAATATTGTTTTTCCTTGTATTATATTTATTCTTTGCTTATTCCACCCCCTGCTTTATTTCAGATTATTTTGTGTTTCTTTATTGAAACGTGATATTTAATCTAAACAAAGAGAAGTATTATTATCAGTATTCATTCCCTTTAATACATTTTTATGATAGAAGATACTTCCAAGTTAGATAATGAATAAAATATTTTATTCAACTACTCCATTCTTCTCACCCCCTCTCACACACACATTATCATTCTGTTAAAATTCAAATATTTTCCCATCTTTCTTTGAGGATACACTTGTGTTCATTAATATTACTGTTAATCAGTCTTGAGTGCTGTTAGAAGTATGAGGGCGGTTATCACTTCCTGGTTGCCCACACCGTAGAAAGGTTCTTCTGAAGGTACCTAAAAATGAAATTGGATTGAAGGTGATCTTAGTGACCTGAGAGTGTGACCGCAGTGCCCAAGAGACAACTGCCTGAATTCGGTCACACACGGCCTCTCTGTGGGTAATTTTCATGTTAGCTCCGTACTTGTTGAGACCTTACCGCCAGAGACGGATATCCGTGGGATAAGGCGAGATTTGTATCTTTAAGGTCGACCTTGTCCAACCCCACCCCTCCTTGTGAGAAGGCAGCATCGCTGTCATGCTGGTTGTCTGAAGGAAAAAGCTTACTGCCGTCACACCTCTGTACTATCGGGAGTACGACTTGGGACCTTGGGTTTGCGGCGTTTAGTCTTAGCGTTCCTCAACTGGCACGTTAGGACATTGAGGAACGAATGTTCCAGGTAGTACAGCTCGATTGGTTCATCACGATAGGCAAGCCCGACCACGAGGTCAGAGTAGCTAGAACGGTCGGTTTTATTCAATATAATATTTTTGGTACAATATAGAATCCTCAGCACAAAGTTACCTTTTCTTATTTCTTGATCGATCCTTTCCATAAATATTGAGTTGATCACCAGTTAGATGTTAGCAATTCAGGAATAAACATCTGTATAATGTTTATTCTTTTTAATTCATATTGGCAACAACCACGATATCTCTGATTGAGTTCTTCTTCGTCAGTTGTACAGCGAAAAGTTGTACACTTTTCAGAAACACACCCGAATAGGTTACGAGACTGATAAGCATAATAAAACCAACGGACGAAAAAACCCTGATAACTTGTTGAAATAGCTAAATGGAAGAAGTAGGTAGCTCAAATATTCAAGTAAGTGGTAAGTCTTGCTAATTGAACACTATATTCAATTCCTAAGCTATTCTCGTAACCCCCAAGCTAGAATTACACAGTGACCTGAACACGAGAGAAAAGGCGCAAAATATACGAGAAGCATTTTACTCCAAAGGTTCGTTTAAGTACAGAAAATATAGGGTCTTTATAGTATTTTAGGTGTCCTTGTGTTTCCCAAAAATTCTGGAATGCTACTAAACATAGTAGCAGTATAGTAATCAGTCAGTCAGAAACTGGAAATGTGACTTTTCACTTTCTTGATGTTTCTGGCTAAACTTCTACTGAACACTGACTAGATACAATGCTTCTTAGTGTTTCCTGAGTCTTTCTTGTATTTTGCAAGTTTTTTGGATCACTTCAACAGTAAGCTCTTTTGTTTCCACCTAAACTACTAATAAATTTCTTATAAACGAAAAACCAGTAATGAAACGTTAACTTTATTAATCCATTTTACATGGACAACAACAACGCCAACACTAACAAACATTCTACTTTCATTCATTTTTTTTCTTTGATCTTCATCTTTCATTTCGAAAAACAAAACAATTATGGTTCTTCTTCTTCTTCTTGTTAACATTTAACTATAACATTAATGTTTATTTCGGTTTAACCTTTTGAACAATAATGTTCGTCTAAATGTTTGACAGATTATTCTTTTTCTCTTTTTCTAAAAATTACAAATTACAATTTTCTCTCTGATTAATTAGTCTAAAATAAAGAAGAAAATGAAATGATCAATCCGTATGACTATTATTTAATCTAAACAGTAAGAATAAGAAAAAAAAGGGATACTCCTACCCCATAATTCAGGGTTTGAAAAGTCTGGAAAAATAATGTGAAAACTTCGTTAATACGATAAAAATGATCTTCATGTTCTTGTAATAGTATTCCGACATGAGACAATAGGTTTTAAACGTTCTTTAAGCTTGAACGCTTCAAGTCAGGCTGTTTTGTATAAGCTATATTGCTATGTAAAACTGAAGGTCTTATATGAGACTGGAGGTTCACCATTAGTATTGTGGATAATTCGGCCTTATTTTGACAAGTTTTGCTGACTGTTCATGTGCAAAATTAGTTTGCTAGTTAACCGATTTCATTTATAATGGTGGTTGCTTTTCACTGTTCTCAAGGCCATTGTCATTGGGAGATTGTAAGGCCTGTCGCCATTGCTAACATTAATGAATCTGACTGTTGTGTAAGAGGAATAGGTCAACTTTGGCCTGTTCGTGCTGTGCATCATTGATTCATGCGATCATTGATCGGAATAATTATACATGTGATGTGAATGTGTATATGAGTGGTGTGAATGGTCCACCACCGTGGCTGGTACCTGTGTGGTTGCGCCACAGGATTGAGCTGTACTATTCAGATTGTAGCCTTAAAGCCTACATGGTGTCTAATCTTTCTGACTATCATTACTGTTTCAATTATTCTGACTGTTTACTGTCTATCCTGTCAATTTTATCCTGTTTTGCTAATGTGGTTTGTCAACTAGTGCATATTTATGCTAGTCCTTACGTTGATTATGATTGACTTAGATTTAATATCCTTTATATCACCATGTTTCTCAATTAAGTCTTCTTTTCTTGCCTTTAACGGTGCATCATCTTCCTGTGAACTATAGTTGGTACTTCAGAAGTATATCAAGAAAAGATTCAGAACGTCTTTTGTTATTAAAAGGAAATATTCGTGGGACATTTCTGGTTCGAGCTAGTGAAACAACAAATGGTAAGCGCTTCTTTCACCCTTTGTATATGCTTTTTACTGATGATAAATTGTTTAAATAAATTTCTTTGGTTAGCATTTTCTCACCAAGATTCTTTTTTAACGGGATTGATTTGACAACCTCGCTCCTAATTGTCTTTCTCCTTTATCCGGGCCTAGTACGCGCCATAATCTATGAAGGGATCCAGAAAGAATTATTACCAATAAAAGCCGATTTCCAATTATGTTTCATTACTGTATTTCAGCTTTATTGGTTGACAAGTAGATCGCGAATGTAACTGTCACTCACTTAGATACTGTATTATGAACGGTTAGATAGTAGAACAACTTCGGTATCTACTGCATGTACCAATCATTATAAAGGAGTGCTTAAATTTTCAACATCATAATTGATTGATTACTGAGTGGTCGCGGCCCGGATAGCCCAGTGGTAACGTGTCTGACTGTGAAGCTTGGTGATACGGGATCGAATTCGTCAGGGAGCACCAGTTCCCACAAGATTACAGGTACAGCTTGCTGTCGAGTGCCAAGTAGCGCGAAACCCGGGTCCAGGGTTTTCTGTTGACTACCTCCAAACAACCATCATCTTAAATTTTCAACATGCTTGGAACTTATGCCATACGTGTATAACTTTGCTTACTGATTAATCTACAAACACAAGTCTCATGAGTATGGTTCACTGTAAAGTAAAAAGATTCAAGTTTATTTTTTAAAATCTGATTTACGGAAAGTAAGTATATCATGTTCTGATTAGTAGCTGATTTGGACACGCATATACTAAGTGTAGCAAGGTTGGACGACTACAGTTAGGAACAGTTAAATACTAAATTTTCTGTGGTTCATGACTTTTTTAAAATATTTTATTATTATTTCTCTTTTCCTCTTCAACATAAGGTGCTCTATCCTTGTCAGTGCGTGATACAGAACAACAAAGAGGTGAAACTGTAAAACATTATAAAATTAAACAATCCTCTGAAACTGGTGATGTGTATATAACTACAAAACAAGTCTTTCCTGATTTAAAATCATTAGTTATTCATTATTCTAATCAAGCGGATGGTTTATGTTGTTGTCTTACACGTCCATGTCCAAGACCACCTCCTGTACCAACTGATTTATCAAGATTAACAAGAGATCAATGGGAAATTTCACGTTCCTCATTGAAATTAATTGAATTATTAGGTGCTGGTCAATTTGGTGAAGTTTGGAAAGGTAAATTGTACTGATACTGTTGTATTTTGAGATAGTTTATGATATTAATTTATGAAGTATAAATTTGTAGCGTTTAGCTTTAATTACCTTCAACTTACCTACTTACATACTTAGTTACGCCCGTTAGCATAGGCAACCGACCAGCATTCTCCAACCCACTCTGTCCCAAGCCTTCCCCTCTAGGTCTATCGAATTGTTGTTCATTCTTCTCATGTCCGTCTCCATTTCCCGGCGTAATGTGTTCTTTGGTCTTCCTCTTCTCCTTTGGCTTTGAGGACTCCATGTGAGGACTTGCCATGTGACGCAGTTGGATGCTTTCCTCATTGTGTGTCCTATCCACTTTCGGCGCTTCTTCCTGATTCCTTCTTCCGCTGGAATCTCGTTTGTTCTTTCCCACAGTAGGTTTTTGTTGCTAATAGTTTTTGGTCAATGAATCTCAAGTATTATGGGCAGATTACTGTTAATAAACACTTGTATATTCTTGATGATTACTTTTGTAATTCTCCAAGTTTGCACTCTATACAGTAGAAGTGCCTTGACATTACCTTAAACCAAACGATGTAATTTATCTTTCACTGTTAGAATCAGATCTGTTTGTAAGAGTTAAATGGTAGCTATCTGTCGGCTGCTTAGAATAAAATTAAACGAAAATATGGAAGAATATCTGATCAAACAATACAACGAAAGAAGCTTATTCCTATTAAATAATAAGACAATAAGTAACATGGAATACGTACGCGTAGAGTAATAAGTTATTGTTAATGTACATCAGTATAATGATTTCAAACCTACAACCATTGATGTATAGTCTTTTTTAAAGGTTGGATGAGAAAGCGCTTTGTTCTTCATACATCTCACACTAATAATCAACAACTTTATTGTTTCATAACACCCTAAGAAATCCCTTTACAGCCCTTGATATTAAAGCTTACAAGGTGTCGTCTATTCAGAAAGAGAAAATAATGTTATAATTAATCGAATACTTTTATAGTGAACGAAGATTTGGTGGGCGATAACCACATAGTGATTTAGTAAAATGTAAAAATCATACATTAAGTACATCATTTGCACACCTTTGAATCGTTTTTTACAAACTTCATTCCTGTTTTTATTACAATTACTGTCTGTTTACATTATTGTTCTCTTCAATTTGGTCTTCTGCTTCCAGGCATTCCACTTTTGATCAGTGTTACATATTACTTATATCTGTCAACATCAGTAGCACATACTGCACTTTATATATATACCTTAAATAATTAATGTTTTAATATGCAGCTAATCAGTTTGCGAGATTGTAATATAAGTGAACTGAATTTATTAATTGGCCTCGTATTTGGTTCATTACATGGTTTATTAAATTAAAATTACCGATACTACTACCATTGAAACCTACATTATCTTATATTTTATGTCATTATCAGTGAATTATTATAAAAATGATTTGTGTTTGCTATATGACAATGATTGGTCAATTTTAACAGTTTGCTGCAAAATTAATGTATCAGTATAGGGATTACTAAGTTTTTCACTGAGATCATGAACCGATTGATGTTAGATCACCACTAAAAACCTGGAAGCACTGAACGGCCGTGGGACTCCTCAGCAGTACGCATCCACGATCTTGCTTTGCGGGACTCGAACCCAGGGCCTTCAGTCTCACGCGCGAACGCTCAACCTTTAGATCGCTGAGCCGGCCGCCATCGAACGGTGTTAATGTCTAACCTCAACCAATCCACGAAATTGCGCGACCATCTTCCATTTTATTGTGGTAGATACCTGTCTCTATCTGATTTTCAGGTTTTCAATGGTGTTCTAACATCAATCAGTTCATAAACTCAATCAAAATCCAAATTAATGAAAATAACGTTTCACTAATATCAATTTGAAGGTAATTGCATTCGTAGTTGAACAATAAACTGTTTGAACTAATCACATATGTTCAGCTGAGACAATTTCAATAGAATCGGTTAATTTTAATAGATAATAAATAAGCTGGTTAATTTTAAGAAAAGTGATAACGTAATTACAACTTATCATGGCAGAATAACATAGTTGTATATCGTTTTATTGTATGAACTGGTAATCAGTTCACAGGTTACACCTTATTCAAAGTTGTCAGAGGATAACTGATACACATGCCAGATTGACTGATTGTTTGAATTAGTATAAAGGTTACACTTAGTGTTATATGAGTTCTTAGAAAATAAACTGAACATCTGGTAAATAAATACCGTTTAAAGCTTCGTAATTTTGTAAGCCATGGTTTATTACTCAATGACTTCATCCATCGAATACAATTTATGGTCATCCCAGGTTTCCTAGATGTCTTATTCATACAGCCGCAGTTCGAATAACTAAATACTTCTGAAGGAAAATAAGTTGTCGCAAGACTGAAGGAAAACTTTGTGAATGACTGTGTATGGAAATAAAATGCAAAAATCATCGGTTAAGCTTATCTGTTGTCCGATATAATGAGATTTCCTAATAAAATATAAACTCATTTCACAAGCTAATATATTACTCATTAACACATTGAGTTATTATGGGCTACTGAAGCGTGTACTTGTCGGATTAATTATTTTTTATTTGTTTTTTTCATGCTCCATAACTAGCTGAACTAACAAATTTAGAGATTCTAGATTGATTTCATTGAAAACTATCCATGAATATAGTCTATAATAATCTACTTAGTGTTTATAAATTCATCTGCCCCAAATGCCCTGATACGGTCGAGAGTGAGGAGAGTCAGCTCTCCCTCTTGAAATGCTCTCACATGGCCACACATATACAGTCACTGACAGTGGATTCCTGCTCATTCCTTTCTTGTAGAATTACTGTTGCCTAATAAATTGAGAGGACTAAAGGCGCTTTAACCGTGTTGGCGGATATGGAGGATCCACCTACGGAGGTTAGAAAACCCTGATTCCTAATCAATACTTACTTACTTACGCCTGTTACTCCTAATGCAGCATAGGCCGCAGACCAGCATTCTCCAACCCACTCTGTCCTGGGCATTTTTTCCTAGTTCCATCCAATTCTTGTTCATTCTTCTCATGTCTGTTTCCATTTCCCGGCGTAATGTGTTCTTTGGTCTTCCTCTTTTCCTTTGGCCTTGTGGATTCCATATGAGGACCTGCCTTGTGACGTAGTTGAATGCTTTCCTCATTGTGTGTCCTATCCACTTTCGGCGCTTCTTCCTGATTCCTTCTTCCGCTGGGATCTGGTTTGTTCTTTCCCACAGCAGGTTGCTGCTAATAGTGTCCGGCCAACGGATCCGAAGTATTTTGCGTAGACATCTGTTAATAAGTACCTGTATTTTCTGGATGATGGCTTTCGTGGTTCTTCAGGTTTCCGCTCCATACAGTAGAACTGTCTTGACGTTTATATTGAAAATCCTGACCTTGGTGTTGGTTGACAGTTGCTTTGAGCTCCAGATGTTCTTCAGTTGTAAATATGCTGCTCTTGCTTTGCCGATCCGCGCCCTCACATCTGCATCAGATCCACCCTGTTCATCAATGATGCTGTCCAGATATGTAAAGGTTTTTACATCTTCCAAATCGTCTCCGTCAATTGCGATTGGATTGGTACATGCTGTATTGTATCGGAGAATCTTGCTTTTCCCTTTGTGTATATTAAGACCTATTGCTGCTGAGGCTGCTGCCACACTGTTCGTCTTCTCCTGCATTTGTTGTTGCGTTTGGGATAGAAGGGCCAGATCATCTGCGAAGTGTAGATCGTCCAACTGCATCCTAGATGTCCATTGTATCCCGTGCTTCCCTTCAGATGTTGACATCTTCATGATCCAGTCGATCACTAGGAATCTGTCTTGATTCCAAATCAATGGTGCACATTTATTATTTATTTTATTGAAACACGTAAACATTTGTACGAGGAGGCATCAAACAGATATGCGCCACGTAAATCATTCGATTTGTGTTAGGGCTGGAATACTGTCCGGGTGCTCAGACCGAAGCATGGGCTCCACGATCCTGTAGGAACAAAAGTAGTATAAACCAATCGTTGGTCACTGGCTTACCATGGGACTGCATCTCCTGACGTTGCTCCATTGCCTTATGGATTAGACCTTTAGGTCGAATGCTCCCGGTGTGGCCCCCAGAGAAAACCTCCTGCTTCGTTTCGAGCACCTGAGCAGTCTCCATACCCTTACACAAATCGAATGATTTATGTGGCGCATCTCCATACCACCTTCTATTTCACTAAGGTAATCCATTCTGTGAAAGTATTTGATACTAACTTCTTACGTCATCTGTTCAAACATATTTCAGATTGTCATTATAAAGTTTATTTTCTTATTCATTAAGTTAGTCACTTAATTACTATTATTATAATTATTTATTAAATGAAATATTCAGGAAAATGGAATGAAACTATTGAAGTTGCTGTGAAAACATTAAAACAAGGTACAATGACTAAAGAAGAATTTCTTAAAGAAGCACGTATTATGAAACAATTACATCATCCAAGACTTGTACGTTTATATGCTGTAGTTACAGCTGAACCAATTTATATTATTACTGAATTAATGAAAAATGGTAGTTTATTAAAATATTTACGTGATGGTCCTGGCAAAGAATTAGGATTGAAACCATTAATTGATATGATGGCACAGGTAAATTGGAATCATAATTATTTCATATTTTATGTGTGCTATCTTTTATTGGTTTACAATTAATTAATCATTGGATGGTGATCAATGTCATGTATGTCAGGTCCTTCTTAGTGCAAATCGAATCCTATCGACCAAGTTTCAATGTGGTCACCAGTCTAGATGACTCGACATTGTGTGCATTATGTTGAGATAAGATGGTGATTGGAAGTAGCCAACAGCAAACCCTGGACATAAGTTTCGTGCTACTTGGCACTCGTCCGCAAAGTGTACCTGTAATCTTTAGGGAACTGATGCTCCCTGATGGATTCGATTCTGTGTCATCCAAATCAGTGGTAACGTCTGTAACCGGGTACTTTTGTATGACATTTGTGGTTTAAAAAGACCATGATTTTCATTTCGTCAATTATTCAAAAAGTCTGAGCATAGTTATTATAAAGACAATAGAGAATAGTTTATGAACCGCTAAAATATCCAAATTTATATTAATCTTCTTTCGAATAAATGAATTTTCGTAATGAAAATGTTCTATTTCAACGTTGCGAATAACCATGGGAAATTTGTAATTCATGTAGAATCATTATGAATATCAAAACTTATTACATTTCGAAGGAAAAAATATCCTTGATTTCGACGACCTACTTAATCATGTCAAGTATACGGCACAGAAAGCTACAACGTCAGTTTTTGCGTCCTCATGTTCACCAGTATTATAAAGCTGCACTGAAGTTATCCCTTAATCCATTAACTGAATTGTTTATAATTTTTAACAGTATAATGTTTAGTGAATATCATAGCATTTTCATAGGTATCAGATCTCGACCTGGTCTTATTTAGATCACCACTAGAATCTTGAAAGCACTAGACACCATTTCGTCCCAGTGTGGGATTCCTAAGTAGTGCATATGGACGACCCCACATCAGGGAGTCGAATCCAAGACCTTTCTCCAATGTCTTACTTTTAGACCATCAAGCAGGTATCCATTTGTCTCATTCTGAACACTTCAAAATATTGGACGACAGTCTTCCATTCCACACTCTCGACATGGTTAAACTGCACTGTTTATAATTTATTCAGAAGGTTGAAATCCTGAAACGTATTTCTGAAATCCCCTTATTTTACACAACACTAGAATTAAAATTCATCTAAGTAGATGTTATGTGATTTTAACTTTTTTTCAGCACTGTTTACATGTTTCTATTGCTTTAAAAGTGAAAATTAAACAACTGAAACAAATTCATAACATTTGAAGAATGGTAAAGATTGGATCACGGCAAAATCTCACAACTAGTTTAGTTAAGGTACAACGTGGGTGCACCTGTGCCATGTCTCTAACCATCGAGGATCCCAACCAGGTAGTCTACACCTACTTTGTTTTGGTCTGGCAGGCTCTAACTTTTTTCCAACCTACTCCTAAACCATAAAACATCGCACGCCGGGGAAGTCGGTTGTTGGGCATACGTAACACGCGTCCCAGCCATCTCAGCTGATGAATTCTCACTACTTCATCAGTTGATTTGCAATCCTTACCTAATATCCGTTCTCTAGCAACTACAGTACTTACTCGTTGGTCCCAGGATATACGAGCAATGCTTCGAAGATACCTATGAACGAATACTAGTAACCTACGAACATCCTTTACTCTTACCGGCGATGTTTCACAGCCAATAAAGTAGGACGGAACAAACTGCTGCACAGCAGACTCGTCCTTTAGTTAGTAGACGGATATCTCACCTACGCCATAAATGACGTAAGTTGAAAAAAGCTAGTCGGGCCTTCTGTATCCGTGCTGAGATCTCGTCACACCAGACCGCAAAGGTTGATGAAACTCCCAAGTGAAGCAGTCGACACGCTCAACTACTTCACTCCCTATCGTTAGTTCAGTTGTCGATGCAACCCAATCCTGAAGCAACATTTTACAAATAATAATAATAGTAATCCAAGGTTCGATTTTATAGACATAGAAATCACTTCAATCTTTCATTAAAAATTACACCTTATTGTCAATGAATCTATTAAAAAGCTCACGATATGACTTAATAATTGATTGTATTTCATTAGTAAACTTTTATATACCTGTAACTTTTTCCATCATCACCTTTTCTTTCTTCCTTCTTCTTCTTCTTCATAGATTGCCAGCGGTATGGCTTATTTAGAAAAGGAACATTATATTCATCGTGATTTAGCCGCAAGAAATATACTTGTCGGTGAAAATAATTCAGTGAAAGTTGCTGATTTTGGATTAGCTCGAATTATTGATAGTGGAAATGAAACATATACAGCTAAACAAGTAGTTTATTATTAACTGATTGAATATTTTAGTTTTTATTTAAAAGCGAAAACTTTTTTATTAATTTCCATCAATTCTCATTCAGAAAATCGAAAAGTTAAACACAACCAAGTCTAATAGTTCAGTAGTGTTAATATTTTGAATAATTGATTTTATAGGTCAATTGAATCTAGGAAACCATGGAAAACCTGGAATCACTTGATGGCCATTTCGTCCTATTGTGGAGCTAGTCCGTGTCGGGTAGAAACAGGTATCTACCTCAGTACAATGGAAGATGGTCGCGCAATTTCATGAATTGGCTGATGTTAGACACTAACACCATTGAATACCGGCTCAGTGGTCCAGTAGGTTAAGCGTTCGCACGCGAGACTGAAGGCCCTGGGTTCGAATCCCACGAGGCAGGATCGTGGATGCGCACTGCTAAGGAGGAGTCCCACAGTAGTGCGAAACAGTCCTCCAATGCTTCCAGGTTTTTAGTGGTGGTTTAACAACAATCGGTTCATTATCTCAATCAAAAACTTAATAATCTCCACAACCCCTATACTGGTTTTATTTTAGTTCACTAATTAACTTGCATAGAAACTATGCGTTAAGAAACATATGATCATGGATATCATTTACTATTAAACTATACAAGGGGTAAAGATGCCTATTACTTATATATCATTTTAATTTAAACTGATGACGTAACTTTATTTTCTTTCAATTCCTTTTTAATATTAGGGTGCTAAATTTCCTATAAAATGGACTGCACCAGAAGCTGCATTAATGGGTAGATTTACAATTAAATCAGATGTATGGTCATTTGGTATTGTTATATATGAAATTATTACTTATGGACAAGTACCATTTCCATCAATGAATAATACAGAAACATTACAACAAGTAGAAAATGGTTATCGTATGCCATGTCCATTAAATTGTCCTAATTCTATATATGAAATAATGTTAAATACATGGGATGCTAAACCAGAATGTAGACCAACATTTGCTTTTTTATGTAATTATTTTGAAGATTATTTTACATCATCTGAATTGTCATATCGTCCAGCTGATAATACTAATAATATTGATGATGTTAATGAAAATGCTGATGATGATATTCGAATGTTTCATTGTAATAATATAAATGATCATGATCATCGTCAAAATAAACATCATTTAGAGAAACGTAAATTAAATTCAACTTTATTAAGTCAAGATACAACTATCCTATATGATCAACGTAATAATAATAATAATAATACGAATACGAATAATAAACAAAATGAACATTCTCCATCGCATCATTTCAATGAGAATTCAATGACAACACAACAATTATCAAATTCACCGCATATTTGTACAGTTCAAATGTGTTAATTATCTAATGTTTGTATATATATATATACCACACACACAGAGAGAGAGAGAGAGAGAGGATACAAGATTTAAAATAGTTCACAACTCATTCATTCATCCTTTCATTGTTTCATTTGAATTAGTTCCCTTCTGTTTCTATTCTTCTTTCAATTTAAACAAATAATCATTATGTATTCAACTTTGAACTCAAATTTTCTTTTGGACATTTGAAAGTGCCTTGTATTCTTATTGACTTTTATTTACTTACTTACTTATTAAACAAAACATTCATTATCATCAAAATAAACTTGATTGTTTACTGATTTTTACTTCATTGAACTTTGATCCAGGGCCTAAACAACATTACAAAAGAAAACACTTTTTTCCCTCTCTCTCTCTCTCAATATATATATATATATTCTTTCCTATTATGAATTCGTTTTTTTTAAATAAAAAAAGAAGAAAAAAGACCCCATCTCCCGGTGTTTGTTTATACAACTGTACAAATAAGGATAATCATACAACTATAGTAATAATAATAATAACAACAACAAACAAAACATGTTTTATACCCGTTTCATCACACATAATTCAAATTGAATTTCTTTTAAAGGTTATTCACTAGATAATTTAGAGATAAAAACTTTTTAGTAAACTAATTTTTTTCTTTCTTCATTGATTTACTCCTTTTTTTAAAATTGTAATAGTAACTATGCAAGAAACTTTAAATATTGGAAATCAATATTCATTATCTTTGATTATATATATGCGCTCATTTCTTTGTTTTTTTTTCTTCTTCTCCACATCATGACAATTGCATTTTGTTTGTTTTGGAAATCTCCCTTCATCATGATACATTCGTTTCTGATTTTTCTTCATTTAAAGGTTAGAAGTTGAATATTGTCTGTTAATAGGGATATACTTTAATTGTTGCCTAATTATAGAAATCTTTCTTTTTTTTAAAAAAAATATTTTTTTAAAAGAAGGTGAATCAAATTCATACAATGAACAATGTTAGAAAGATTGTCTTTCTATACTTGAATGATACATTAACTGTTTAAATGAATCATTTGAGCAACTTCTTTGTTCGTTTCTGTTAAATTTGTTTTAGTTACAGATGATAATCATTCAATTCATATAGGCTTACTCTTCATTTCAATACCAACTTGATAATAATAATTATGATGATATCTATTTGTATAATTTAATAGGATTTTCCATTTCATTTATGCATTACATTTAATAAACATGTTGTCCTATTGATAGATTGTTTGGATCCCTTTTACTTCGTCTACTTCTTCATCTCTTACTCTCATATCTTTTGATGGTCATTTTCTTTTTTAGTGTCTTGTCTTTCTTTATTGATTTAAATTAGATAATACAAAAGAGAAGATGACAACATCAACAACAACCTCAGGATGAAATAATGATTGATAAGAAAGTGTGTCACTGTCGTATATATTTGTTATTGTCTTTTCTTTTCTATCCTTAACTAAATAGTTGAATAGGGGATCTTAAATAATTCATTGAAATCAGTTCAGCGTAACAATCATAAATTCACTTGATTAGGTTAGTAGTGCTTTTTAAATTTATTCAAACAATCGAACTATACAATACTTTTATGTTAAAATGCAGTTTTTCAACAGCTACAATAGTCTTTAGTGCTGTTAAAAGCATAAGGGTAGTTATCACTTCCCGGTTGCCCACATCGTAGAAGGGTTCTTCTGGAGGTACCTGAAGAAGCTGGGTTAGAGATGGTTTTAATGACCTGACAGAGTGACTGCAGTGCTCAAGGGACAACTGCTTGAGTCCGATCACACACGACCTTTTAGTGAGTAGTTCTCGTGTTAGCTCCGTACTTGTTGAGACCTTACCGCCAGAGACGGATATCCGTGGGATAAGGTGAGACGTGTATCTTTAGGGTCGACCTATCTAACCACACCCCTCCTTGTGAGACGGCAGCATCGCTGTCATGCTGGTTGTCTGAAGGAAACAGCTTACTGCCACCACACCTCTACAATCAACAGTACAACTTCGGACCCTGGGTTTGCGGTGTTTAGTCTTACCGTTCCTCAACCAGCACGTCAGAATCTTGAGGAACATAAGTTCCAGGCAGTATAGCTCGATTAGTTCATCACGATAGGCAAGCCCGACCACGACGTCAAGGTAGCAAGAACGGTCGACTTTATTCAATATTATATTTTTGGTACAATATAGAATCCTCAGCACAAGGTATTTCAGTAAGTTACCTTTTCTTATTTCTTGATCGATCCTTTCCATAAATATTGAGCTGATCACCAGTTAGATGTTAGCAGTTCAGTCTTTGCTGATACATAAGCACACTGTGAGGTTTGCCCCGATATACCCATTTTATCATAGGTTTCTAATAGAACAAATGGTTTGCTATTGGCTGAGAAATTCATAAAGCGTGTTCTGTTCTACTCGGGACTTGTCAGCTAGATTTACTTCACTATTATTAATAGATCTTTCCACCTTTCGCTTTTAACGCCTGTCGCATTATCAACTAGTCTACACAGCCGTCCACTTGTGAAACAGGTATTATACTTACATGAATATTTAGGGCGAAAGGTACAGGGTACGAGTCCCAAAGTGCGAAAGTCAATACTGGGGATGTAGGTAGGTCCAGCTAGCCAGTCACAAATAAGCGGAAACATGGGTCCTGGTTTACACTGCTCACCACAATCTATCCATTCTGTTTGATTCAATGTATGCTAAGACAGTATAACAAACTAATTAAAAATAAAAGGCCTTACTAGTAAGTAATGAGCATAATTATTGATGTTTAATAAACCTCACCCATCTTTACTGGACTGTAATACCAACATTCTAAGATAAAGTGACATCTACCATTAATAAATGAAAAAAGAACACATGCGGACTAGTCCCTGTTACTTGATGCTATCAAAATGATGTATGGTATGATTGAAACAACTATTATTGTACAAAGTATACAAATAATTCAGGTTTGTAAAGAAATCAAACACATTTATATTCTTTTGCTTCGAGTACTCCTGGTTGATTTAATACTTGAATTTGACATGATTGAGTGTTTTGTTTTGTTGAGGTTCGATTTCCTTTTTTTATTTCGCTTTGGTAGTTTGGATAATACAATATCAGTTAACATTTTAAATGCCTTTTGGACTTTTTGGACATCATACTGATCCGAAAGAATCTTGGAAAGATAAGTACAATATCTTTCAACATCCATTGCTAAACCTTCTTCATAAGTCATTTGTTCATATTGCTTGGATTTGAGGAAAGGGCACTTCGGTGAATGACTTTTATGCTCTTTGTCTGGATCATCCTAAAAACAAAAAAATGAAAGCATAAGTATCGTATGCAAAAGTGGAATTCCAACAGGATATGTTCTGAGCATCAAGTCCAGAACTAATTAAAGAACTTAACTAAGGACATATTGAGATTGTATGATAGATTTGATACTTTTAATGAAAAACAACAGGCATAAAAGCATCCAAACAATAGTAAGTGTTGGACTACATAACTAATATCTCGGGTGAATAGCCTACTTTATCTGAATATTCAGCAGAGCCTAATGTTTTAGGTGCTCGAATTTCAGCCATTATGGTCTGGATTAAGGCCCCACACTAAATACCTCGGTTTGGGCAATCTTTTGGTATTGCTAGCCCTTACGTTTAGCGTCGCTTATACCCGGAGTACCTAGTAAATGAATTAGTTTGTTTTTTTAGTTATCTGAATAATTATGACTCTATGCATTTAACTTTCTCTTATTCTCATGGGGTGATGGGATTAGATGTCATAGGAGTAAATAATTTTATATCTCATCCAACACCTTAAGCAATTCTGTAAAGCCGAGATATAGCTTCTAACCACGTAGCTACTCGATTCATGGAAATAGAAATCTGTAATTTATTAAGTTTATTAAGGCATTCAGAAAGTAGCGTCAGTAGTCGATGAATAAGGAGGAAACTTCATTGAAAAAATGACTATAACTGTGAGATGTATATTTTCACTGCATTCTATTCATTCCACTTTACTTTAAGTCTACTCTATGAACCCTTTCATAAAACATAATAATTTCTTCTATGCCAAAGCTCGTCTTTTCATTTCTGGGTAACTAAGCACTACGACTTTTGTTGGAAGGAAGCTGCCAACAAACGTAAGTGAACATCACAGAAGTGCATAACTGTTCCCATTATTATTGCAAACACAAGGTACATTTATTTGCATCTCATAAAATAAATGTGAACAAGCACCTAATTCTTTAAATAGCCGCTTCTGAGTAACAAATGAACCTTAAACTAATATAAATAATAAAAATTTGGGAACCTTAGAACACATTTTATTTGAATTTGGGAAAAGCAGGCAACACGAATTCACATCGATGAAGATACTGTTAATCATAACTTTTCCAACGGTTAGCGTGACTCTTAAATTATTAAATACTGTTGAAGAATCTATCACTCTTATTTCCATCAGCTCACCACATTACATAAAATGAAACATAAAGATACAGGAGTAGTTTAAGGCTACACAATGGTACAATCTACGGTATATTTTCGTGAACGTGCAAAAATCAACTACAAACACTAGCACCAATAAAAACACAACCACTTTGCCCGTATTAATAAGAACTTGTAAACGTCGTGAGACGTTCATAAAATTCAGATAGAGTGAGTTTCATAAATTACTTGAAACAAAGTCTTGGTAGCCCAATCCGGAAGAAATGTAAACTTACATCGGGTTCCCATCCTTCTAATTCTTTCATGCAAACAAAACACTGTGTAGTAGTTGGATTGTTTGGATTCGGTCGGTAGAACCCAGACTTGGCCATTTTCTCAGCTGTACAAAGGGAATTCCCATCATAAGGCCAATTACTTAAAGTACTTAATCTATATGAGTAAATGGAAAGACGAAATCTGTCTATCAGAGTACTGACTGACATCTAAAAGAGCAGGCAGAAAAAATAATTAGACGAAGCCCATATGAGATTTTAATGAAGCAAACATGCAACAATAATTACCGTCTGGCTAGTATCCAAAACAGCTTAACATTGGTTATTTAAAACTATTTTCAAGAACGTTTCTTGTGCTCAAGAGGAAATAATTAGAAGAACAGGAGCCAAGCATAATGTTAACCACCGACAAAACTTCAAAAGCCGTCAACTTATTTCAGGAATTCCATTGTAAAGGACCAGAACACGTCAGATGAAAGTCGGCGATCTTGAACTAACAAAGAATTTCGCTCCAAGAGATTCTGAACTAAACGTGTTTTTCTGGAGGCTACATTTAGAAAAACTCGTGTTTGCATCAAGTGACATAATCATTTCAGCGATTCTCATTTGCAAAGTAACTGTCAAGTGTCGACTATGAACACAATGAAACCTACATAAAAGCCCTGCATAAACAAAACACCAGAACTAAAATAATTCCATGCGTTCAAGAGCATAAAGACTTAGGAGTAGTATTAAGTCATGATTTAAAAACAACTACGCATTGCAAGGCAGCCGCTGTCAAAGGTTTTCGTGCATTATGGTCACTTCGCCGAGCGTTCAACTCTTTTGACGAGGAAATTTTCAAATGTTATATCCCATATATGTAAGACCACATTTAGAGTACTGTATCCAAGCAGCTAGCCCGTGTCTGGTAAAGGATACTAACTCCCTTGAACGTGTCCAGCGTGTGGGAACGAAATTAGTGAAGGGTCTTTCTACACTCCCTTACGATGAGCGTTTAAAACGCCTAAATCTTTTCCCCTTGTCGTATCGTAGGACACGAGGTGACCTTATACTGGCATTTCGTATCTTTAATTATGATTTGGGTGTTAATATGTCTTATCTTTTTGCTCCCTCCAGCACCAATAATCTCCGAGGTCATAGCAAGAAGGTTCATAAACCACGATCTAATAAACTTAAAATGGGGTCCCGTTTTTCTCATCGAGTAGTCAATCATTGGAACGCCTTACCCGAACAAGTGGTATCAACCCCATCAGCGAATACTTTCAAGGAAAAGCTGGACCTTCACTGTAAAGCAATGTGTCAGGATTAACACAGGTTCATCAACCTACTATCCTTATTACTGAAGTTTCTATTGAAACACTAAAAAATAATTTGCAGGAACTGATGACTAACTTCGAATGAATAAATTGAAATTATCTATATTTAATGTTTTATATGACCGCAGTATAGCTCTTTTGAAACTGTATCGTTTGTCCCAGTTATGAATTAAGGGGAAACAAGTTTGATGGACTACTATGAAATGTTAACAACAACCGTAGGACCCCATGGAGTAAGAGATACAACACGAAATAACTTAAAAATTACAAACATCATGAAATACATATGAACAGTCTAAATGTCAGTCATTTCTAAGCTTGCGTCTAACCTGAAGTTGCATTGTGTGCTAAGACTGGTGTAAATTGTGTCAGGAATGGGCGAAAAAAGAAATTAGCCGACTCGTA